TTTTTAGCTTGTACCAGCACATCAGCACTTACCAAGGCATATTTACAGCCAAGATGGTAAAAATTTTAAATTTCACTCAGTCTGATACACTCCATTCAATTCTGAAGTTAAAATTTCACCCAGTCAGATACGCTCTATTCAAATCTGAAGTTATTGCATGGAGTTAATTTTGTGCCCAAAGTTTCAAATAAAATTATAAAATCTACAAGAAAAGTTTTCAGTATAAAAATATCCAAAACATGTTGTAAATACAAATAATGAGAGTTTTATTTTTTTAATTACTGATGGTGAACATTTTTAATTACTGATGGTGAACATTTTCAGGAGTGTATGTTTTTTAAAGGCCAATTTATGAAGGTGTTTGTTTAATTTCATCAGCACAGTGATGAATGGAGTTCGGCCTCTGTGTCTCCTTAAAATTAAAACCCAGTAAAACAGGAAATCGTCAGTGACCATTGAGGTGGGCTCTAAAAGGTCAATTACACATAATAACATGCTGCAAAAATTTAAGGGTACCAATAACTGTGGCTTTATTAGAGCAAATTTAATGCAGAATCAGTGAAGAAGAAGAAGAAGAAGAAGAAGACACCGGAAACACAGACTTTAAGCAAACGCTGTTTTACTGAACACTGTGGAGACTGTGGAGAACCACTGCAGGGTCACTTCTAACCACACACTCCACCTTCATAGTGGATACACAGACCAGTCTGTCTGACCTGCAGTTCTGCAACATCACTGACCACACCGCCGCATCAGTAACGTCCACAACAACCACTTATTCACATAGAACAGCCTCTCTGACTGCAGGTCCGGAGCCCCACCAGGTTCCGCACGTGGCTGCTCTGCATGGCCACACCTCCCACGTGTCCATGGCCAGTAGCAGGTCACTACAGTACATCTGTATTTTAGGAAGTATTTTAGTTTTTCAGACTGAATTTACTTTAATTAAAGGTCAGATTTCTCTGGTGTTCAGTATGACTGAAGGTGCTGATAGTTATGGGCCTGACAGTCCCTGCATGCGTGATTTTAAATCCCGCCTTGTTTTTTGAACACAGCCTGTTGTGGTGAAGTGTGGGAGAAATGAGAGACGCTCCTCGGGAAGCATAGATGAGTCCACTGCAGTGACCACAAGAGTCCAGACGGGATTCAAACACCCAGAGTTTAAACTCTTACAGCACACTCACAGACAAAAACAAAGAGCAAAAGAAATGAAAAACACAAGAAACAAGTACAATAGAAAAACAGTAAATAATAAATAAAACCAGTTCCAATCAAATCAAACAAGTATACTATATAACTCAATTCAGCAGAGAAATAATCATAATTAATGTCTAATTAACAATTATTTAATGCACACTTATTTATTATCATTCAGCAGGTGCAGAGTAAACCAGCATAGGTTGGATTCTTCTTCTTTTCCTTCTTCTTCTTATTATTATTATTATCATTATTGTGGTATGTATGGTGTGTCTGTGTGTATATGATGTGTGTCTCTATGGAGTGTTTATGGTGTGTCTGTGTGTACACATGGTGTGGATATGGTGTGCATGTATGGTGTGTGTATGGTGTGTGTACGGAGGGTGTGTGAGAATGGTATGTGTATGGTGTGTGTGTTTGTGTGTGTATGTGTGTATGGTATCAAACAGATTCTCCATCAGCGCTAATAATGGTTTATTTCTGGTTTTCTTGAGAACCCACTCTGAGGTTTCTGTCATCTAACAAACCCGAATCAGATCAATAACTCATTAAAAAGCTCCTCTGTGCTGGATCAGGTGTGCTTAGTGAATGTGGGGGGATCCAGGACCACAGCTGAGTGATCCAGTCACATACTTACATGGTTACAATATATCATTACAATAGAACTTCCATATAGAACCATATACAGTACATTCCCCATCAATCTTAGGAACCATTTCACCATGCAGAGAAGCATTTAATCATGCAAATTGTTCTTTGAATGTTCAAAAGACCTGCGAAGAACAATTTTAAGTGTGCAGCAAATTACCTGCAAAATGAGAACTTTACAGGAGAAGGAAAAAACACACAGTACTTTTAATGTAAGTCAGTAGAACCAGACTTTTTTTAAGTAATTCTAGGCAGTTTCTGTCCGTTTATTCATCATAACATGAACACACAATGTAAAGAATAATACGTATTTTCATTATGTCAAAAAGTGAAAATCGACAAAACAGAAATACGTTTGGTTCCAACAGCTATATATATAGCTTCCGAAAAAAGGTGGGACACTGTGCAGAATCTAAATAAAAACAAAATGCAATGATGTGCAGATCATTTAAACCCTATATTTAATTGAAAATGCCCATTTTGAATTTGATGCCAACAACACGTTCCAAAAAAAGAACCTGGAGGTTGACTGACAACAGGTCAGTAACATATATAATATAAAAAGAGTATCCCAGAGAGGCTGAGTTTTTCAGAAATAAAGATGAGGTGGGGTTCACCACTCTGTGCAAGACCGCAAGATCAAATAGTGCAACAATTCAAGAATAACGGTCCTCAATGTAAAATAGCAAAGAACTTTTGCTTTTCATCATCTACAGTACATAATAACATTAAAGGATTCAGAGAATCTGGAGAAATCTCTGTATGCAAGGGACAAGGCCAAAAAACAGTATTTGCTGGCTGTAGTGGAGATCATTGCACTGGCTCAGAAAAACTAGGATGCAATGATATGCAAATCATGTAAACCATATTTTTAAAGGAAAATACTACAAAGAGAACATTTCAAATGTTGAAACTGAGAAATTTTATTGTTTTTTGAAAAATATATGCCCATTTTGAATTTGATGCCAACAACATGTTCCAAAAAAGTTGGGACAGGGGCCTGTTTACCACTGTGTTTCATCACCTCTTCTTTTAACAACACTCTGTAACCGTTTGGGAACTGAGGAGACCGACTGCTATAGTTTTGAAAGTGAAATGTTTTCCCATCCTTACTTGATATAGGTTTTCAGCTGCTCAACAATTCAGTTCTCCTTTGTCGTATCATGCAGAATGTGGTTTGACATTGTCTTGCTGAAATAAGCAAGGCCTTCCCTGAAAAAGACGTCATCTGGATGGCAGCATATGTTGCCAAAACATGTATATATCATTCAGCATTAATGGTGCCTTCACAGATGTGCATGTCACCCATTCCATGCACCCCTATGCCATCATGAATATTGGCTTTTGAACTGTGCATTGATGACAAGCTGAGTGGAGGACACAGTGTCCATGATTTCCAAAAAGAATTTCAAATTTTGATTCGTCGGAGAACAGGACACTTTTCCAATTCCTCTCAGTCCATTTTAAATGAGCTCCTGTCCAGAGAAGGTGACGAATTGTTCACAGACAGTGGTTCGCAGAAGTGTTTCTGAACCCATGCAGTGATTTCCAATATAGAATCATGTCTGTTTTTAATGCAGTGCTGTCTGAGGACCCAAAATTCACGGCCAGAAAATACGTTTTTTTGTCCTTGTCCCTTACATACAGAGATTTCTCCAAGTTCTCTGAATCTTTTAATGATATTGTGTTCCATAGATGATGAAATCCCCATGTTTTTTGCTATTTTACATTGAGAAATATTATTCTTGAACTGTTGCACTATTTGCCCACTCAGTCTTACATAGAGTGTTGACACCCTCCCCATCTTTGCTTCTAAAAGACTCTGTCTCTCTGGGATGCTTTTTCTACCCAATCATGTTACTGGCCAGGTGTTTTTTTAGTATTACACAAATTTAACAGCCTTTTGCTGCCCCTGTCCCAACTTTTTTGGAACATGTTGTTGGCATCAAATTTAAAATAGGCATGTATTTTTCAAAAACATTCAAATTTCTCAGTTTCAACATTTGATATGTTGTCTTTGTACTATTTTCAATGCAATATAGGGTTTAAATGACATCATTGCATTCTGCTTTTATTTACATTTTGCACAGCGTCCCAACTTTTTTGGAAATAGGGTTGTACATGCAGTTAGGAAAAAAAAGAACCAAAAAACACACTTTTTCAATTTAGCACTACTTTACCATTATTAGCGTGACATTTAAAAACTTACAAGACATATGTAAGCTGACTGGTCATTGTGGATAGCAGTCTGGTTCCTAGTACTATAATGGTGAACAATTGTGACTCTGTAAATTTCTCTAGAAATTTACCAAGTCACAATTATATAATTTATTATATAAATAAAATTATCTCTGCTATATAATTTATTATATAAATAAAATTATTTCTGCTGTCGGAACAAAACCTCATATCTCCAAAATAGTAACTTTACAGGAGAATAAAAAAAAACTCACTGGGCGGAAGGCAGGATACACCCTGGACAGGTCGCCAGTCCATCGCAGGGCAAACAGACAGACATACACATTCACACTTAGGGGCAATTTAGCATATCCAATTGGCCTGACTGCATGTTTTTCGACTGTGGGAGGAAACCGGAGGATACCCACACAGACACAGGGAGAACAGGCAAACTCCACACTGTCTGTCTGTCTGTCTGTAAAAACTAGACTAGTATAATGACCATTTGGCTTGTTAGTTTATTGTATTAAACTTTCAGTCTGTACCCTGCTGATAAAGGACCATTACATTGGATTACAACCTGATGGTTTTACTTTCTAATGGGAATTGGCTTCATGGTTTCCGACCAGACCACTAGTTTCCTTTAGATCCCATTAGGAAATCATTGGATGCATTTAGAATCAGCCACTGGTCACCTGTTAAACCATTAGAATCCTTTACACTGTGATATCAACCCATTAAAAAGAGAAAACACATTATAAAACCATCAGGAATCAACAGACACACCTAATGCTTTCTAAGGTTTTTCAGCAGGTAGCTCTGATTGAAGATAAATTGCTCCCAAAAGCAGCACCAAAATACATCAAAATGACATAAAATAGAGGAAAATGGGCAGATTGTGGGTGTTTGTGTCTTAAAGCTGGGCTGTGTGAGGAGTCTGTTGACCTGCAGTCAGATGTGTGAGAGAGAGAGGAGGGAAGAAGAAGTGTTTTCCGGGCCTTTTCTCTCTGTGTGTGTGTGTGTGTGTCTCTGCGCGCTCTCTGTTTGTTTTTTATTTAATTATTTATGTCCTTATTAACTGCGGTGTTGCTAATCAAAACATTGATGGTCGAGCTTTCCCGGCGGTGTGTGCGATTGTGTGAAATCTGACGTTAAAACCAAACCGTGAGCAGCGCTATGGCTCGTCCTCGGCCCCGGGAGTACAAGGCAGGAGATCTGGTCTTCGCCAAAATGAAGGGCTACCCGCACTGGCCAGCGAGGGTGAGTACAGGCTGCAGCCGGGACTGAGGCGCAGGGAGGCGGGGTCGGCCCAAAACAGCGCGCCGCTGCTGAACGAGCCGGAGCCGGAGCTCTCACCCAGCTCCCCTCAACCTCGCTCCACCGCTCACCTCCACTCTAACGTGGGCAGAGCGATGGTGAAGTGTCCGCTCGCTGCTCCTCCATTTCACACTCGGTTCTCTTATTCGCCAGCTTCTTGTTCGATTTTCCCCGTTCCACCTTAAATAGTGCAGCAGTTACATTCTGGCGCGGAGGCGCCAGAATGTAACTGCTGCACCATTTAAGGTGGAACGGGGAAAATCGAACAAGAAGCTGGCGAATATGGCGTTCTCCCGCTCAGGTGTGCTGATAGAACCATGTTTTCCGACCTTTCAGCGGTGATTATCGCCTGTTTGAGTCTCATAATCAGCTCGGAATGAATTTCTACGCCTTATGTGACCAATTATGACCTTATTAGTCAATAAAGTCGGACCGCATCTCCACAGATTTCGTTATTTGTTCCGTTTAACCCTCACCACCACCACACAGGCTAATTGATTAGCTCGTTTGCTAAAAGCAGAGACGCCCCTCATCCTGCCTTCATTTTGATAAAGAATGTCGCCACAGACACTCCAGATGCTTCACAGACGACACCGTTATTCATATATCCTCACTTATCTCACATTTTCTACATTAAAATGTGTAAATATATTATAAATCAATATATATCGTGTCAGTCTGCGTTGGTGGTTAGCATCACTGTTAGGACACACTGCTGTTGGTGGTTTCAGTAGCTTCAATATCGGCTTTATTGGCGATTTTAAAGCGTTTGTTTGTTTAATCTGGCATATTTTATATCGGTATGCTCATATTTTGCTTTCTAAAATCAGATATGGTACAGGAAGTAGTGTGTTTGTATAGATCATATAGAAGACATTGTTTTTTCACGCCTGTTTTCCGGCAGGTCCCGCCTCCTCCGTCTTGGATTGGTTAATTCCGCGCCAACACCTCTGCTACAATTGGCCAGTCTGTCACACTCGCCAGAGTTCCGCCAATAGGGACGGTGTCTGTGCGGTTGAACGACTGGCCAATCCCAGCGCAGGGAGGCGGGACATGACGGAATACGGGTTTGAAACAAAAAGAACGCCTTAGCACATGTGGAGTCAGTGTTGCTGCATTAAACATTAGTTGTTTCATAATTGTCTGATTCCTGTTTACGAACACATTGCATCTAATGCAGCTTTTTACGTAGGACAACATTTTTTCCACAGAGTTATCTATTAAAGTGATCGGTTATAATCTTAATACGCCTGATTCTGCTCCACACATCTGACTGAGTTCAGTTACAATCAATACAGTTAATTACAGACACCTAAAATGCAGGTGTGAGAGCTGAAAAACACTAAAGTGTGCAGGACAGAGACTTTCACATGCTACATTCATCTCACTGAGGATTAATGACTTGCTTTTTGCTGATTGGTAAAGGGGAATTCCACCAATGTTTCAGAATTCCCCCCACAATTGAGTGAGTGATATGTAAACAGAGTGATTCAGAGTGGTTTGGTGTGAAATGGTTCAGATTTCTTTACAGTGGTGGTGAGAGGAACCAGGGGTCGCCATGACTACATCACAAATATAGACATTTTATTTACTATCCAAAACCACCAGTGATCCTACTTGTGACTTCTGAGTTTTATATGGAATGTTGATGATGGGAAAATAGTGGAGAATCTGAAATAATGTTTTTTATGGGGACTATTTTGCCTCACAGCGCCCTGCATATTATGTATCCCTCCACCATGAATGGATTTTAAGTTCTCAAAACTATCATAAAACAGTGTCTCAGACATCAGGCAGTGTATTCACAACCATTTCATGTAATAACTTTCTGTAAGGGAGCTTTTAGAGGTGGATGTCTGGTTCCTATCACCACCACTGTGAACAATTATGACACTGTAAGTTGAAATATCAAGTTTTTAAGTTCCCCTTTAACCTGATTTATGATTTGGTTACCAGCTCTGTCTGTTGGCTCAGACTTTGATACTCGAGTGTTAATTAATCTGTGTGCGCGAAAAAAAAACATGTAGTTCTAATACTGCAGCCCTAACACTTGCGTAGTTCTAATGTAGTTCTAATTGATAGCAGTTTGAAACCTAGGTTCCTCTGAGGGATGTGGGATTTAGGCCTACCTGACCATCTGCACCAATCACAATACACGATACATTTACATACAAGTGACCTTTCCCTAATGGAAGATTTGTAAACATTAACACTAGTACTTCATCACGGCCATCAACCAGGCTCTTTAAAGGGCCCATACCATGGAGAAGCAAATTTTCCTAACTTGTTTGAAATAAAAGACTTTGGTGTAGAATGTAAACATGATTAGTTTCAAAAAGTCCCGTTCAGAACACACAGTCTGTATACGCTAAACTGCATAATCAGCCTGTTTTAAATTTATTGTTTTTCTGCTGTTATAAAAACCAACACCTTTATGTACACTCAGCCTACAGCAGTGTAGCCCGCCCATTCAGCCTACAGCAGTTTAGCCCCGCCCTCTCAGCCGACAGCAGTTTAGCCCCGCTCAGAGCCATATAGAGAGAGAGTTGCATCACCTCCGTTCACTCCAAAGGACCATTTTTTTCCAGCTATTATGGATCATGGAGCCTCTCAGTAGTTCCCGGAAGTTAGCAGCAAATACTAGCAGCGCAGCCGAGTTGAAGCAGAATAGACCGGTTTTGATGCACTTTAAAAGGGTAAAACAATTAAAGAATCAGTTTGTACATAATAAGCGCATCTGAATCAAATTAACATGTATATTAAAGTATGTCAGTGGATTATCCCTGACTAAATTAGTAGATTTAGGGAACATTAACAGATAACATAGGCTAGGATACTGAATAAAGTTAGCAACACATAACATTAACGATAAACAGCCTAGTAATTGTAGATTCCCTGCTCTCAATGTCATTTCATCCACCGTTGTTCAATTATAGAAGGCTTCTAAACGTGATTTTCCACGGGATGGGTGGGAGTTAAATATTAGTTAAATATAATATTGGGGCGTGAGCTTGTAGAGTGGTGGTGGAGGAGGTAAAATTGTGACATCGTTATCCATTTTGGAGTACGACCTAACACAATAAAAAGAAAGCTATTTTCGTGATACGTCACTACTAATATGAATTTAGAGTGCATACTGGAGACTTTAAAGAGTAAACAAATATATGACTTATGGATTGAGTGTTTGCAGGCTTTGTGATGCTGTAGACTATTAACTGTACATTATGTTGCAGTTTAGTTGATTTTGGACCAATGGCAAGACCCACGGGGGGATTCAACTCAGCCTAAAGACTCCCTACAATAAGACAGCACCCTCACCCTGCACCCTGAGTCTCTACTCTACTCCTTATTTTTAATAAACAAAACATTAAGCTTCCCAGTGGTGTGGCTTTTGTTTGTGAAACATATGCAATGTCATGTTGTTGTTGTAATCTTTAGTGATGGTAAGTAATTTAGTAATTGCTCCTGCTGACTTGAGCCAGCAATGTTTTCTTCTCTCTGTGTCAGTAGAGAAACCAAACATTTTTACTCCTTTCTCTGAGCGACTGAAGCATCTCCATGCAGCACAGCAAACCATGGTGGGGACTATATGCAAGGACAACATGGAGAAAAGGGCACAGACAGGCCTGCCAGGCTATTCATGTTTGAGTTCGTTATAGCTTTATTTAATGAATAAATTGCAGTAAATATGTGCATAGTAAAAAGACAAGTTATATAAAATGTTTATATGTGTACAAACAAATATAAATAGATGCGTTTTATTATGTCCTGTCTGGATGTGATGTGTTTTAATGTATCCTTCTTAATAGTAGATTTTTGCATATACATGCCAAACAAATTTCTTTGGCTCCTTCTCCTTCTGTCCTTTCAGAAAGTCATAAAGTTTACAGTAGTCATTAAGTCATTAAAATTATCTAGGCCTTGGGATTACTGAAACTACCATTAATTAAAGATGTGTTAATGTTATAAAATTAATCTGATCTCAGTTTTGAAACATTCCTTCCCTTCCCCTCCCTCTAAGTATATCAATAAACATTAGGACATGACTGATCTTAACTACCATTCAAGTTTAAGAACATAATATCTGTAATACTGAAAACTCAAAGCAATGAACAACGACAACACACTTTGAAACCATGTTGACGTTAACCCAACATGTCAACAAGGCAAGTAACGATAGCTCAAATAGTAGCAAATTTTACTTTAAAATATATCATATTGTTGTAACTATATATACACATGTTGATTTTCTATATAAATATTGTAAATCAATGCATTTATTGACTGCTAAGTACCAAAAGACGCAGTTCTGTCGCTAAGTGTTTATGGATTTAAATTGCCCGCAAAGAACTTCCTGGAACTATCTGAAGTGTACGTGAATCACGTGACTATCAAGCATTTTGAACTTCCGTTGACGCTACTCTCTCTCTACATGGCTCTGGCCCCGCTCATTCAGCCTACAGCAGTTTAGCCCCACCCATTCAGCCTACAGCAGTTTAGCCCCACCCATTCAGCCTACAGCAGTTTAGCCCTGCTCATTCAGCCTACAGCAGTTTAGCCCCACCCATTCAGCCTACAGCAGTTTAGCCCCACCCATTCAGCCTACAGCAGTTTAGCCCCACCCATTCAGCCTACAGCAGTTTAGCCCCGCCTATTCAACCTACATCAGTTTAGCCCCACTCATTCAGCCTACAACACGTTAGCCCCGCCCATTCGGCCAACAGCCGTTTAGCCCTGCACATTCAGCCTACAGCAGTTCAGTCTGGACTGATTTTTTTGTTCTGATTGGACAGTGCTGATCTATGCTCTGTTCTGATTGGACAGTGCTAATGTCTACTCTTTTCTGATTGGCCCCAGATTGATGAGCTGCCAGAAGGAGCAGTGAAGCCACCAGCCAATAAATACCCCATATTCTTCTTCGGCACCCACGAGACGTAAGTTCCCTCTGTGTGTGTATGTGTTCTGTATATTTGCTGTAATTTCAGCATTTATTAGAGTTCTAAGGTGTTTTCTCTCTTAGTGCGTTCCTCGGCCCTAAAGACCTGCTGCCATATAAGGAGTACAAAGACAAGTTTGGAAAATCAAACAAGAGAAAAGGCTTCAATGAGGGTCTGTGGGAGATTGAAAACAACCCCGGCGTCAAATTTACCGGCTACCAGGTGTGTTTCTGCTTCTGCATATGTGTGAGAGAAATACAGGAAGGCACTCAATAATGTTGGAATTTAATATAAATTCAAAAAATTGTTATAATATGTGTAAACTAAAAACATTAAAAAAATAATTTAAACAATTACATTTAAAAATACTCTCTGATTATATAGATTTTTATTCAGTGTTTGCACTAAATCCAGTCAAACAAGGCTAATTACACTGTGACTGAAACATGCAGTTGGTCAGTGTTCATTAAGGACTGACATTCACCCTAACACTCAGATGAGCATATTGTGATTAAATTTATCACAATAACGATAAATATGGTCATACTGTCCATCTCTACAGTTGAAACTTCCAGTGTAATAAAGCATTAATGTGACTGTGAGTTTTCAGCAGGTTGTTACTGAAAGGTCACTCTGAAGGTCAGAGTCTGTGTAATTACTGAAACCAAAACACATGGACACTGGTAATAATAACAATAATATAGAAATAATATAAAATAATGTTGATATCATGCTAATAACATTAATATTGTAATGATACAAATATTAAATAATAATATGTTAATATGATAGTACAATAATAATAATAATAATCAGGAACCCTCAGGCCCTTCTGGATGCTCAGAGATATTTATAGTTATGTTTTTTTTTTATTCAACAGAATTGTGTGTTGTATTTAAACTCTGTAAGTATTGTAGTACTAGTCGTATTTCATTGTTCAGTTTTAGATGGAAACAAAAAAGGTAAAATCTTAAAACGCCCAACCGAAAACCATCCAGTCAGGATTGTTCTCTCTGTGGTATCTAGGTACATACAGCTGAGATGCTCTCCCCTTGGTCAGGACTTCAGGAGCTGGACAGACAGACTTACACATTAGATTAACTACCAACATAATTAGGAAGTGACAGAGGAATTAACCAATCACACCACAACATCACTCTAGTGGAAAAAACACTAAAGAACATCACTCTAGTCCCTCTGAAAGTTCTAGATACGTCACTGCTTGTGAATATGAACTGTAGTCTAGGCAGGTTCTAGTTAGTTGTTAGAAATGTTAAACAGTGGCAGCAGCTCTGTGCAGGACTCTTTATTGAAAGAGTCACTGTAACACTGATAGATACAAGCTCAGATATATGATAATATATGATAACAACGAAATGGCTTGGAATGACTTTACAAGCTCAAATATCTGTGTTTAAGCTAGAACGGACAAAAAATGTTAATTCAAATTGTCTTTAGCGTAGTGCTAACAAACTACTAGAATCCCATGGGGGTGCTAGCAGAAGTTAGCATTATCATAGAGGTCTTAAAGGGTTATTATGAGATATTTACTCTTTACACACTCACTCGCTAATGGCTGTTTGTGTGTGTGTGTGTGTGTGTAGAGCATGCAGCAGGGCTGGTCGGAGGGCGAGGGGGGCGGCGCTGACCCGGCAGACGGCAGCAGCGGGGCGGAGGAGGGCGACTCCATCGGAGAGGAAGAGGAGGGGAAGATGAAGGGGGAGAAGGTTGGATCCAAACGGAAAAAGACCGCATCCTCAAAGGTACCACCTTTAAACCCCACTCTGATCAGAGGCTGCGCCTCAAATGGCTCTCTGCTCTCTTTATAGTGAACCACACAGACCCTGAACTAGTGCACTGGGTGTGAGAGTGGAAGCTTTTCAGCTTTGGCTGAATGTAAACAAGACATATGGTGACATACAGTGACGCACCGTGCACTGTCTGCATGCAGAAGACGTTATTTCATTACTAACATAGTGCACTACTTAGGAAGCAGAAAGTAGGGAGTATGGAGCAATTTGAGATTTTATTTTTATTTATTCCCCCTGTTGATGAGTGAGTGATGAATGGCGGCTCTAGACAAACAGTAAACATCAACCCAAACTGGCTGCTGGGAAACATCACACAGATTTTTGCTGATCTAGCTTTATCTCCTGCATCCACAAGAGGGCGTAAATATCAAGAAAACTACACGAACGTTCTACCCGAAGAAAGCACTCTTTTTTTAAATGTGAAGTTTCTCCCAGTCGTTATAAAATATGAGATTTGACAGCGCAGATATCAGCAGCGATCTGTGTGCCAATAGGAGGGGCTTCATCAGAATACGGGTGTGTTTTAGTATGAATACAAGTGTGTTTTGTAAGGAGTGTGCAGTGAGGAAACCCACACACACACACTCTGCTCAGCCTTTGCTTAGCAACGGCTGTTACCTAGCAACAGGGACTAACGTTCATGTATCCTGTGGGGGGCGTGGCTAGGGCTAAAGTGGGGGGCGGAGCCTAAAGCTGATGTTTCTGCTGCAGAACTCGGTCCACCTGAAAAAAATAGTGAATAACAGCATATGGGGGAATACCTCCAGTGCGGTTTCACCTCCTGTGCTTAAGCTGTGCAGCACAGCTCTGAACTCACACACTAACACACACACATACACACACAGAGGAACACTACCTGGATCTGAAGAGCCACTAAAATTGGAATTTATCTAAGCCCTTAATGTCCTGGTGATACATTCAGGACTCATTCTGTTTAAACTTAAAAAACTTTACAGCCGTCTGAGATATCAACAAACTTCAAACTCCACCTAAAACTATCACCCGTGTGTACTGTGTGTCGTATTTCCACTGTGAAATTCCAAGATGGATCTATACTACATCTGCAGGGTCGCCTGTGCTGCCAGTTCGTTAGATAATCGTGTACAGCCAAACAGAGAATAAAATACACTGTCCAGCAGGCCCAGAGCAGGGTTTTACCATTAGACCCTCTCACTGCACAATTCAAAACCAGACCTGTGGCATACAGTTACGTGTCCACTTACAACATCACACATAGGGCTGTCCCCAGTGCCATTTTTTTTTTGGGGGGGGGGGACTAAGATGGTCTACATCCCATGGCCATGTTGAAAGCACATTTGCAGCTTCATCTGCTGTAAACTTTAAATCTCCAGCCTAGCTGCTTTCATCACAGTGCAGTGTCGCTCCGTCTACCAGCCCGCTAGCCTCTCTTAGCAGTGGGCTACGATGTGCTGATAAAGTGTACTGTGGCGTAAGCAGTTCGGTTTATAAAGAGAAGAAATGTTTCTGTTGGGCTGTTTAGGTTCATTTGTAAAATTACTTTAATGTTGAAGAGTCTGAGTGTAGGTGCAGTGGTGGGTTTTCTGGAGTAAAGCAGAGGGCTGCGTTTTAAGCTGTTAGCGCTGGAGAGGCTGTGCTTCTTCTTGCCATGTTCGATGCTGTTTTCAACAAATTAAAAATAAAGCTGCATTATGGAGCGAAACTTCAAGTCGACCAGGTGTCTCCTAAAACCCCCGGACAGTACGGAGACTACAGCAAAAAAAAAAAATCCAAATCCCAAAATCAAAAACCAAATATCTACCCAACAAACAAATACCCAATAGTCAAATATTCAAGTTCAATACCCAACTCATGTTGCTGCATCCTATACATTTGAGCAGAGCGCTCTGGAGGTCAAATCCACCTCGTTGTGCTGTGAAAAATTGAGCAGATTTCTACTTTATGCAAATGAGTACAGCATTTGTGCGGCTTGTAGCCAATCGTTTCGGAGTAAACGAGCAGCAAACATTAAACTTAACTTTCTCTGAAAACAGAGCAACAGCAGCTTTCTTTGCCTCCACTGAATCTTTACCAGCTTTATGTAATAATGACAATATCTGGTTTAACACAGAACTGCAGACAGTGAAGATCTGATAATAAGATGTTTGTTTACGTGGTTCGGGAGTGAAGGCAAAATATAAACAAACAGAGTTTGTAGAGTACTTGCTAAGGCAACTAGCTTGCTAGTGAGGCTGAGATTTCTAGCTTGTGTGAGCCCAGAAGATTCTATGTTACATTAAATTAAATAAAAAACAGCCCCGGATGTCTTCAGTATGGTCCTCTTGATTTCTGTAACAAAAATGACTCAGAAACACCCTGCAGCGGTGAGCAGAGACCCAGCGCGACAGAATGAGGCGAGAAAAATTGCTGGAGGACGCGCACCGTTAGCAAGTCCAGCACAACATCTGAAAGACTTTAAAACAAGATTCTCTTCATGAAAAAGTACAGATGCATTTGAAGAGCAGTGATTTAGAGGCTGGAACTCTTCAGCGGTGTGATGTAGCTCTACACAAAAATACATCACCAGTAAGAGCAGAAACTAAAAACATCGACTAGCTGAACTGAGAAACGTACACACACAGTACAGATTTCAAGTGACTTTTATACGTTCATAAAGTGGTTGACTCTTCAGATACATTCAGATTGTTTCATTCTGTATGATTGTAGCATTTTTTAAGTAAAAATGAAAAAAAAAAAATTCTATTTTTATCTTTAATGTTTAGTGATAGTGCTCAATAACTGATATTACTGAAAAGTTTATCAGAAAAGTTGTGCTGATTCGGATGATCTGAAACACAAGTTAGTAGATCATGAACTGAATCACTACTTCACAGTTAACATAGCACGATGTATCCTATCAGCCAATTCTAGGCTTAGTTTTTTAAAGGGTTAAATTTACAAATCACTTCCTTCTTTTAGAAAGCATTTAGATAGGTGTGGATGTGTGAGTGTGCGTGTGTGTTTCAGCATGGTATTTCACTGTTTGTTTCTTCTAGAAGTCGTCCAAGCTGTCCAGGAAGTGCTCGGGTGACGAGGACGAGGAAAAGGACGGGAAAGACGAGGAGGAGAAGAGAGACGAGGACAACGACATGCAGAACTCCGCAGACAAGAAAACATGCTGTCAAGGGGTGCGCAAAATTAGACACATTTACATGTTTTCACAATGTTCTCATATTAAGCATTGTTTATCATATCAAACACGTTCAGTCAGCAGGTTAAAATATACAGTGTATGCAGATAAGTATTAACAGTGAATTTTTAGAATGACCACCAGGTGGCACTCTGTTCCTGTATAGACACCAGTTCTACTGATGAGCCCTGTCTTTTATTTATTTACATGTTTTTCATCTTTCTCAGCAGAACCAGTTGCTCCGAGAGGAACATTAGATCCTGAAGGATGCCGGATCATTTTGTGGTTGTTTATGTGATATTGGAAATGTATAACGTTGACATAATCAAGATCAAAATCACAAGAGAAAGCATTGTTGTAAATTCACAAATCAGAGAAACTACTGCAACCACTGAGAGTTCATCTACCGCTCACCACTGGAGCAAAGATAAACTTAAACAAATAGATTTAAAGGAGCAATAAGTAGAAAACAACAACAAAAAAAAAATATTAATAATACGTGGGTTTTTAAGGTGGTCTGGTTAAAGCTGGTTTTCTCATTCCAGAGTTCAGAAAGGCCAAAAGTGAGTCCAGTGTGATTTGGCCGAGATGCTACTTACTGCTTCTTTAACGCATAGTGTTATTTACACACTCTAACTAACGATTAAATGTAATATAGTCATCAAATTTAGCATCATTTTTTAGCTGTAGCTGCATAGCTGGACCGCCAGTGTTTGTGTAAAACAAGCTCAGAATCTCTCACTGCCCCAACGCCCTGACCTTTAACCCTGACCTCTACTCTGTCCATTTACCTTAAGCTTTAACCCTGTTCATTGACCTTGATCTCTTAAGCCTGACTTTTACCCTGATTCTTAACCCTGTCCTTTAATCCTGTGTGTTAACCTTGACCTTTAATCCTGTCCATTTACCCTGACCTTTACACTGACCGTTAACCCTGACCATTAACCCAAACCTCGAATCATGTCCATTAACCGTGCTGGTTAACCCTAATCTCTAACCCTGTCCATTAACCCTGACCTGTAACCCTGTCCATTTACCATAACCCTTAACCCTGACCTTTAACCCTCTCTATTTACCTTGACCATTCACCACTACTTTTGACCTTGACCTTTCCCCTGACCTTCACCCTGACCTTTGACCCCGCCTCCACTGTGCTGCTCAGCGCTGTCTGTCGTAGCTCGAGGTTTCTTTCTTTCGGTGAAGCTGTCAGACCTTCCAGAACGTTCGTCTATAGAACATCATCAGCGTGTTCCCCTTTTCTGTGATGGAAAAAAGAACGGACAAAGTAGAAACGTCTGCCGTGCGGAGAGTGTAAGTGCGTGAAGTCGTCTTGTTTCGCTGTAGGTCTGGAGCTCTCGCCCAGATTAATGTTCATTTTCTAAGAGAAGTGAATAATCCCGGTTTCTGTGTCAGTGGGTTTGGATGTTTTAGGCTTTTTAGTGGCATGCGCATCTGTCGTATTCTCCATGTGAAATAGAGATCATTCCACATTTCCTCTCAGTTACGCTCTTATTTCTCATTTTTTTAGACCCGTAATCCTCCCAAAGTTCACCAACTCTCCTGCTCATTACGTTTAGCTCTTCATAACTATTACTGCGATTACCAACAAACCTTACCCAACACGCTCGTGAAGGAGCTGCATTTTTCTTTCTTATCTGTGTTTATATAAAGAATATATTCTATTTATTTTTGATGATAGTAGATGACCCATCTGTGGTAAGTGTAAAAACTCATCACGTAGCTTCTGTTCCTTCTTGACTCTTTGTTATGCTTGTAATCGGGACATGTTACAGATCTATCTTACATTTTCAACGTTTGTAGTTCAATGTAAACTGTTTTTCCTGTTTATTCACAAGACTTTTACAGAATAAACTCGTTGGAATGCTGTTTCGCGTCTGCTGAGTGTCTGTAACGAAAGCTGAATAACGACACTTCATTAATTTAATTTACCTTCATTAAATGAAGACGACTCGGCGTTCATTAATGTTCATGTCATTTTATTAGTTTAATGATGTGCATTTACACTGCAGTTAAATTGAGAACTTTAAAAACATTCTTACAAACACAGACCACACACAAGCACACTGGAGTAATAAATGCCACTTCAGTCACTTTAGGAATATATTAATATTGTGTTTTATCGCTGTGTACACAAAACAGAAATAATAAGAAGTGCAACAAAGAAAAACAGCGTCCTCCATTTTAGTTACACAGATCTGAGAGTGTGTTTTATTTTTCAAAGAAATCAAGTTGTCTTTCAGTCGGTGGAATATTCCAGAGCTTTCTTGAATTAGTATGTTTTACAGAAATTAATGTTACAGTAAAATTGTCTAGAATGTGAAAACAATCCTTTGCTGGTTATCAGCGGTGACCTGATGAGTACAGCGATGGTGGTCAGGGGGCTGATGTGACTTAATGACAGAAACAGTTCCAACTTTTAGGATCAGCATTCATGTTAATAATTTTTCTTATAAATAATGTTATACAGCACAAATAAAATATATAAGTAGACGCTGAAAGGTACATTTTTTATTTTTTATTCGGTATCGCAAGTATCTGGTCAAAAAACAAGTCATTAATTGGTAAATAGTTTTACTGTATTTAGCTATTTATAGTAATTTCATGTCAATTTGTTTTAAGATTTGATCATTGAAGCATTGCATTTGATCATTTTGAAGCATTGTAGATGTTACTTTAGTTAGAACTTCATTACAGATTTTAAATCTTGGATGTTAACTGTATTAAAGCTTCATTCTTGATGTTCTACAGCGTTTTCTGTCACTTTAGAACCCATGTGTCAAACACAAGGCCTGCAGGCCAAGTCAGGCCCGTGGCACAATCCTATTCAAAACTATTTTCATTTCCTATTATATTATATTAGCCCATTTCACCCCAAGCTGCACTGCAGTTCCCAGCATGCACTGCAACGTAATGTGTGCTCCCACCTCCTCCCCAACAACGATCTATGGGACAACACCTCCAAAATAACAAAAAAACAGTTTAACAGTTTAACAACAAAATAACAGTTTTCTGCAGTTAATGTAGTCTATTGTTTATATAAAACAATTTGTTGTTATATAAGTATTTAGTGCCTTTTTGCCATTGTAGTTTTGACAAATTTTGAATAAACAATGGCCAGTTGGGGTCATGGCAAAAGGTTAAGTAAAAATAAAATAGAAACACAGCTGGCGCACGGATTTGTTGACATTTTTTAATATGGCCCTTTTAGTGCATGAGTTTGACACACCTGCTTTAGAATCCTCTGCAGCTGTGTTCATCATTCCGGACTCATCTGTCATCTCTGGTTTTTATTTACAGCTTCACAGTGATGATCTGATGAGCAGATTAGAGTCATAAAACACATTTATCCGCAACCAAAGAAGTTTTGTATTACTGAAAACACTGACTTCAAGCTGTTGAACAGTGTATATGTGCGTTTCTCTGTATGAAGCAGTGTATGAGCTACGGTGACCTCTGACCCTGAAGGCTGCACTGTGCCAGTCACAACATGTGAGTGTGTTTATTCGGTGTGTGTGTGAGTGTTTTTGGTGAAGAATGCAGGCCGGCTAATGCAGCGGTAGCTCAGAGCCTGGGGCAGTAAAGCATAGAGGAGGTTAAAGGTCATGAAGAAGAGCAGCTGTCCAGCCGGAACGCGGTGGGCAAACGGTGTTCTGGTGTGAAGGGACGCGCCGGTGTGACAGAACTGAGCCTAAAAACCAGAAACACTGCATTAAACACAGTCCTTCAAACGTGCCTTCAAATATACTTTCCTTCAATGTATGTACCCTCACCATACCTGCACCATACCCTCTCCGTACCCACTCTGTACCCTCTTTATATCTGCACTGTACCCAATCCGTACCATCTCTGTACCCTCTCCACATCCTCTTCACACCTGCACCGTACCCACTCTGAATCCTCTCTGTACCCACTCTGTACCCTCTCTGTACCCTTTCTGTACCTCCTCCATACGCGCTCTGTACCCTCGTCATACCTGCACCATACCTACCCTCTCTGTACCCTTTCTGTACCTCCTCCATACGCGCTCTGTACCCTCTTCATACCTACACCGTACCCTCTCTGTTCCCTCTCTGTACCTTCTCTGTACCCTTTTCATACCTGCACCGTACCCACTCTGTACCCTCTCTAGACATTCTCCGTACCCTCCTCGTACACACTCTGTACCCTCTTCGTACCTACATTGTACCCACTATGTACCCTCTTCTATACCTTCTCTGTACCCACTGTGTACCCTCTCCAGACCTGCACCAGACTCTGCAACCATTTCAGACCTGCACGGGTACCCTTTCTGTTCCCACTCTGTACCCTCTCTGTACCCTCTTCATACCTGCACCGTACACTCTCTGTACCCTCTCAGTACCTTTTCCATACCTGTCACTGGGGTGGTACCCTCAATGGTACATCTCAGTACCTTTAGTCAGGGAACATAACTGTACCATAATCCATTGATTATATTCTCAGTACCGTGTACTGTCTGTGTTCTGTTTTGTATTTATTTATTGTACTGTATTGTCTGCACTGTGTATATTGTATTGTCTCGCACCATGTGTGTTGCACCATGGTCCTGGAGGAATGTTGTTTCGTTTCATTGTGTTCTTGTATATAGCTGGAATGACAATAAAGCCTGACTTGACTTGACTTGAAATTATTGTTGTTATTAAGTTGTATTGACTCCACACGTCTTGTCTCCTGGCTTTTTATTTTATTGTTCTGCTTTAAAACATTAGGTTATAAAAAAGGTACAAATATGTACTTTTCCACTGGGAAAAAAACTTATTTAAGGTTCACAATTGGACCTTAAAACCACTGTTGTACGTTTGAGGGAACATTTACATTGTTTGTTCTTTGGTGAAGGAAAAATGTACCTGCACAGAACCTTTATTTTTAACAGTGTACCCACTCCATACCCTCTCTGTACCCCCACCATACCCATTTCATACCCTCTGTGACCTCTCCATACCCCTCTGTACCTGCTACACACTCTCTCTGTACCCTCTCCATATCCTCTCTCTACCCTTTCCATACCCTTTCCGAATCCACTCTGTACCCTTTCCATACCCTCTTTGTGTTCACTCTGTACCTTCTGCCTTACCTGCTGTGTACCCTCTCTGTCATCCTCATTACATGCTCTGTACTCTCTCCCTACCCTCACGTCACCTGTTCTGTACCCTCCCCTTACCTGCTGTATACAGTATAGTATATGTTTCTCTGTACCATCTGCCTTACCCTCTCTGTACTTCTTTTTACTCTCTTTATACTCCTGCTTACCCGCTCTGTACCCTCTCTGATATCTTGCTGTACCCTCTCCGTACCTGTTCTGTATCCAGTCTATACTCGTTCAATCTGTTCTGTACTCACTCTGTGGAGACAGCCGAGTCTGTTGCCTGGCAACCATCACTGACCATCCTACATTGCTGACTTCTGAATAAATGCTGAGAGGGAATATCACACACACCCCCTGCCCCTCAGAGACCGCCCGCTGACTGACCGACACTTAAGTTCTGAAGTGTGAATGCTCACACAGAGCACAGGAGGCAGGTGTGTGTTTGTGTTTGTTAAATAATAGAAACACACACAGATAGTTTCTGTTAAAGTCCTCAATGTCCAGATCTGTTATTTCTGTGTCTAATACAGGACTCTTAAACAGCCTGCAGTTTTACATGGTGTGAATCTCAGGAGTGTTACAGTCTTTACTGCTGTTAGATTTTAGAATTTATGGGGGGTTGATTACATATTTTTCAGTCAGTAGATGTGACAGTCAGTGCCACAATCCACATGAGATGACTACAAAACACACTGACCGCAAACAGAACACAAGATTAGGGCCACTAAGGACCCACCTAACAATCTTCATATAAAGAAACAATCATATAAAATTAACAATTATAAAATTATCAACAGGCTGTTATTTTAGAGTTGCTCTATGTAGGACCAGGGCAGTTAAGGTCAAGGTCATTAGGTCATTAGGATAATTTGGGTCAAGGTGTAAAAGGGTAATTGTCTTACCTGTGCCACAGCCCCAGCATGCACCAGGCTCAGATCAGGCAGCCAATCACAGCCCGGCACCAGCAGTCCATACAGCATCAGCACAAAACACGGAGTGGAATACAGCATATTAACCAGCATCTACAACACACACAACGCAGCTTCAGCTTCAGCACCGGAGGATTTAATGATTTTATGGCTGTGATGTCAGAAGTCTTGAAGAGCGATGGTACCGCAGGAAATTGTTCAGTGCCACCATGTGGCCAAATTAAAAATACATATTTTTGAAGCAGCAACATTAGGCCTATGCACCTTAAAAAAGGACAACACTGTTTCACTTCCTGTTTAGTGGCAACTATCGCGTATCACTTCTTTCTTTATTTTATGCTAAATTGTTTTAATGATTTTACATATACTAATAGATTTGTGTTGTTTCAGAGTCTGTTAGGCCCTTAAGGAAAAAATTAAATAATTTTTCAGATGTGAATAATAATCATTTATTTACATATTTTAAAACTATCAGAATATTAATCAGTATTTAAACCTTTAATACCTGCACTGTAGGGAAGGCTGAGGGGTCTTTGATGTACGGCTCAAAGTTCACCACATAATCCTTACAAACACCAGAAGGACAGTCCAGCGCCACCTACAGGCAACAGACACACGCAGTCAGCAATCGTATATTTCATAAAAGACCGAACTCCTCTGTTTTTGAGGAGCAGCTGTAAATCCCTGAAATCACATTGTTATATCGTCATACAGATACGTGTGAGTGCGCTGCTCATGCGGGATGTGTGTGCTACAGCAGAATCATTTTGAGGCTTTTTGCGTTTTTTGCTCACCAGGCCTCTGAAGACACTGAACGCTGCAGCTGTGATGAT